CACACCAATGGTTTATGGATTTCGCGAAATTAACCAGCGTAAATAAACGCATCTCAGAATACGTACTGAAAATAATGGAATTCATGGAACAGGAAGATGCAGTTTCTTTGGTAAATTTTATGTAATGTACTATAAAGATTTCTTCCTTTTTTTAGACTACAAAAGTAGAACAACGATGAGAATTTAATCATGCATACGATGGATGTAGTGAGGCACACTACATTGAGGTTGTAGCATCGGATACAACGAACATAAAGTGGTAACTCCTCAGATGAGCCCGAACTGAAAGCATATGGTGCTTGGTTGCTTCTCTGACTGAGAGTTTTTCCCCTTTTCTATCCCAATTACGGCTACGATTACCACCATCTTTGACACCATCTGTGTGCTCTCCCAGCTTCCACTGCTGCTGAGTCGGTTAATGTAGAGACAAGCCTGCGAATAGCTTAAGCAAGATCAACACTTATATGTTGGCGCTATATCGACACCTAAACACAGACCCAGCAATGCTTCAGGGACGCTTGAACCTTATAATATTAATACGTACGTTAGAATCAAATAGATCCGCTGTACTCTAGCCTTCAGCTTTTAAACAAACACCATTACATACGGCAGCTTTCCAAGCCTAGAGCAATTACTCCCTCTTGTACTGCCAGATATGGCGGGCAGCTTTGAAAATGGACACATTGACGTGTAGTGGGAACATACCACACGAAAGCCTTTTGCTTCTCCCATGCCAAGTGTAAACCACCCGCCAGCCATAGCAGTCATGTGCAACCTGCTATACCTTCGTGTATTCGCCCACTCAACGGCTCAATTAGCGAGTCGATGCAACAACCCGTTACAACTACTCCTATTTTCACTACGAATGATGGCATCAGAAAGCAACGTACGGATAAAAACAATGACAGTAGCCAGCAGACCCTAACCTGGACACTCGTAGTAGACACAATCTCACTCCCGCTTTGCAAAAAAGGACCATTGAGGCCATCTCATAAAGATTAAGATGCTGCCATCTCCTGTATAGATGTCTCCTAATACAGAAAAGACAGAATAGTAAAGCTGCTGCCGCACGAACATGAGTATTCGCTATGTCCCAAGAACTAAAACATGTAACTGTTTTTTTATTTCAACTTCTGCAAAGCTGCATATGAAAGTCAGCTTCGTTTGCTGTTAATTAATTATAATAGATTAACTAGTCGTAATACCGCCCTCAAATCTCGTGCTCCGTTAGATACTTTACTTGTGGCTGAAATGTTTTCAGCGCTGCTTCTTACGAACGTTAATATTCAAGCGATCTCGATCCAGTTGGTAACGAGCTGGCAGTTTTTGCCCTAAGGTGCAGCTGAGTTTGCCTAGAGGCTATATCCAGGTTGTTGCGGTGGTGCAATCGTAGCGTACCTATCTACTAAACTTAGCAGCATTCGAGTCTGGGACGGGTGTACTCCATGATGCCCTGTAAAAATGAGTGCTTACTAGAAGCTTTTAGTCAACCAAGTATTGATTTTTAAGCAAACGAAGCAATAATTGCCGTTCAATGAATGCGCGGCTGTATGCTATTGCGTAGGAGTCCGGGATGTTGAAAATATAGCTAGATATCTTTGAAGGGTTGGATCCCTTATATTGGATAGCGAATTCAGGAAGTGTACTCTGCCTGAAACCTTAATTTTTCTCATAAATAGGAACATCTTTAAGATGGTGGACACGCCAGGAATCGATCTTTGCATCCAAGCTAAGTATATATACTTTCATTTCAGAGTAATCCAGGACAGCTTACCTCGTTGTCCTTAAAAGAATTCAGAGGCAAATGGCATTAACCAAGTTCCCTAGCTTTAGACTTGTACAAGAGCTCAGATCTGACTTTGACGGCTTCGTAAACCATTATGTTTGCTATCATATCGAAAGTACATTGCTTAGAAGCCCTAAGATTGTTAAAAGTACAGTTTCGCACTTTTGCAATTAGTTACAGGGTTATTACAGTTACCTATTATGTTCTTCCCGTTTTCACATTATGCGAATTTTGATCTGACTCTTCAGCAGCTTCGTATTTGATTTCAGTGCGTAACCGTCGATTTCAGATAACCAAGAAAGTTCAGAGTCTTGTTGTGGGGCTCGTCCAGCGCAAAGACCTTCTAGAAAGAATTGGCTTGTTTCGAGTACCAAGAATAGCGAATGAAGATGCATCTTTTGTGACCGACAGCCACAAAAATCTCATGTCAGACAGCCTGCATAGTAGCAAATAGTCATTGGTGGCGAGCACATTTGTGTTCCGGTTAGCCCGATAACGGACAGAACAGGTGATGTGGTCTGGTTATGTTTTTACAGTAAATAATTATGACGTTTAACTGTCTTTTTTTGTTTTTAGTATCGCTTAGCAGTGTGTTCTCCTAATTTGCCTGATCCGAAACATTCGTCCCACGAGTAGAAATGCCCTCAATTTTTTTGCCCCTTCGCTGTAAACAAACGAGTAAAAGGAATTTTCTCTTTTCCCCGTCTTCGATTTCCTTTACGAACTTCGATTTCCCAAGTCTGGTTCACCGCTCACTACTCACAACCCGCTCCTCCCTCAGTCGTTTAAAGAAAAGCGGAATGGGGAACTTTGCGCTGACGTACGCTTCGTATTCCATCGCTTATGGCTGTTCTGCGCAGCGCTTCAAGAAAAAAGATGTTTCGCTCCAAGAAAAATCAGCAAAGGAGGTACTAACTCCAAAAAAGGCAGCAGACAAAAAAATGATCGCAGCAGCAGCAGCAGCAGCAATAAGTTGTATGCGTTCTAATCGACACACATGCACGTACATACGTCGTGTCGATGTGTAAATCGCTTTCTTGCGTGAGATCGTCCAGACTTGCACGACGAGCTTAAAACGGACGGTCTCATGAAACCAACCAATGGGGGTCCAGCAGAGAAGAGGCTGGATGTTGTCATTATATGTTCCTGGGGGAGGGGGTGCAAGAAACTGAACAAGCAGTAGCCATGATTTTTGAAAAACCCTGGGAGACGGCTCACGAATCCAACATTTGCTGCCGTCGTCCGATCGCTGATTTGTGCTTCTTTTGCTTTGTTCTTCTCGCATTTGCAGTTGCTCCTGCTTCTGCTGTTGTTGGCGCCAACTGCTGCACGGTTGCGATGACATTTTCTAGCGAAACGCAAAAAATAAAACAGGACTCCGAAATGGGATTGCCGATTCGGGGTTCTACGATATATTGTCTTCGGCAGCGATTACGGCCGCTCTCACGGGGTCCAACGGGGACCGCGACCAAGATGCCATTTTCACACCAATTTTTGTGTGGACCGAATGCACGCGTACGAGTGTACTGAGGTCGTCCAATCTTCTTTATCGTTGAGGAGTAACCGCAGCTGCGGAAACGAAGAAAGAGAGAGAATGAACAGCCACTTCGGATTATTCTCGTACGTTACTACAATTGCTACTGTTGCTTTTGTCGGTGATGCTTATTCTCCAAATAGCCCCTATAGCATGGCAGAGGTCGAATATGGTGGCGAAGGACCCACCGGCGATGCCCAATTTGTTGCGGGTTAGGAAAGTAAATTTGGGACGCTAAGAGAATGAAAAAGAGAAAGACAGTGATGGGTCCATGTAAGTTCGGCTTGTACGTATCTTCTCTACGGCCACCCTTTCTTGAACAAACATTAATACCAAACCGCTCGAAGGTTAAGAGTTGAAACGGCTTCTATGAACGGCTTTTATGTTTATGATAAAGTGAGCACACGCATCTATCTCAATAAAGCAATTTCTCGACATAATCAGAATGTTCATAGCCTATATAACTTGATCAAATAGTAACGGGACCGCAGATTTTCCTGGTAATCATTTGGGTATGATGTCGGTGTCTAAATTTAACTACTGGGCTTGCAAAAAATCAATTAACGATATCTATCATACGAAGTGATAATAAGAAATAATGTATGTGTCGCCCTTTATCGTTATTAATTGTTAAATCGTGTTTTTTAGAAAAAAAAATACATACATGACAATGAAGCAATGAAAATAACTGCCTATATATCTAAACATATATATATATATCCACCAGAACGACCTTATGAGAGGCCCCTGACAGCAATAAACCTAATGTTTGAGTCCGGTTTGACATATAACGAGTGTGATTTATCGAACTGCGTTGTCTTTTTTTTTTGTTATAAAAAAAGCGCTTTTTCCTACGACGACTGGCTTCTAAGGCTTCTGCAACTTGCCCTACTTCTCTTGAGGGTTAAACTGAATGGGCAGCCCGCAAACGAGTCAAACACAGCTTTATCATCTATCACTCAATTAGATGCATGGTTTTATGCGAAAATACAGATAGTCGAACGAATGAAATTAACTACTTTTGTTTGAATAGGTTGAAGGATACATTACAAGTAGCCTTGCTACCATTGAAAGATCGGCTACGTTAGGAGTGTGTTTATCTCATTGGCCTCGCCTAGGAACAGAAACAATAAAGCATTAGACGTAAAATGGATCTGTTTCCCAAATATTTCCCATCTGACTAAATGTGTGTGAGGTGAGTATTATACAATTATGTAGGTTTCAGTGAAATCAACCACTATGACAGAAAATACCGTAACTAACAATTTTTGCCCGTGGGCAAGGTGTACAGCATTTTGTAATTCATTTTGACGCTTGTATCTTATCATCTATATTCTGCGGTCACCATGACATGTTGCGTACAAATGCTGTTTTTTTTTTTGTTAATAATTAAAGGGGTGCTAATATTATGCAATGTTAATCATTGAAAGACTCCAATTGTTTAAAGGCTTTAATACAATTATTATTGTTATTATATATAACTAAAACATACTAATAATAATAAGAACTTTTGACGATATACGTGCCTGCACGCAGCATACAGTTAAGTAAGTTTACTATAAATAAGCACGTGACAATTTTCTTCGTAAAATGTTTATTTACACATATTATTGTTGTTAATATTAACATACAATTACTATTCCTAAATCTACCTGTTTATGCCCGTGCACAGGTCTTGATCCGATATTGTTTTTCTTTTATTACTAATTGCGTGTCTCACTCACGTCTTGTGACTTGTCAGCAATGTGTATTGTATTATATTTACAAAATGTTTGCATTTAATTATATATTTAAACAAATATAGAACTATTTTGTCTATCATACATTTACTCAGGTGATAATTAAATTCTTGTACATACACTCTCAGTCGCATAATTCGCACGATCATATCGTCAGCGCGTCGACGTCAGGACAGTGTCCTTCGCCGCCTTGGACACTGTTATAAGGTTGATTGAATCAAAAGTAGGTCTGGGTGCCTTTCAGAAGCCGTCGCACATTTAAACAACTAAATTGATGTGAAAGTGTTCTATTCAAAGTAAAAAAATCTAAAATACTGTTTAGGCCTGCTGAAATTTACAATCAACTATATATGTGATAGTGAGCTACGAGAAATTATTCTATTATTAGGAACACCGAAACATTTTTGCCATTATTATTGTTACTATATGAATTGCACGCGGACTCATTGTTATCTAGTGAGTACTGTTATTATCGTCAACACCACATAAACGAATGGTAACTCCGTATACGAAGCCCTGATTTTGATCATCGTTGTTACTATTTTCACCCCCGCCCCATTATCATCGGAAATTAAGGGGGCTCTTTGGTAAACTAGGTGTGTACAAGCCGGTTGCAAACGTCACAGGCCATTGCCCACAATAGGAGTAGTACAAACGATTACTGTTAGCCCATGGGCTAAAATGAATGAAGAGATTCAGAGAACAGATAAGGTGGTATATGGATATTCAATAAGCGCTTTTACACAAACAGATAGCTCATGGTAAGTAATATAGTACAGACGAAATTAAAGTCTTTCTATGCGTATAGTCCTTCTTTTCCAGCTGGTGAGGCAAAGTTAATATATCATTTCTGGCTATTAGAATTTGGGGGTTTAATATGAATTATGGACATGTCCTCGTTGCGGCTCACAAGCAACATTTTGGCAAACTATAACCAACTAATGGACATAGGTTAGCGAGCATGTTCGTCACGAGCGTTATGCATACGTTTTTCTACACTTTAGAATAATAGCATAGCGTACATTATTTAAGTTTTTGGCTGTTTAACGGTCACCTCTAGGTTCTGGGGCCTCTCGTCAATGCTGGAAACATCGCTATGGAGTTTCAGAAAGAGTACAGCGCAAAAATGCACATGTGAATGATTTCCCATTTTAGCAAACATTGTGTGTCAATCAATAACTGATCAATTAGCCTATTTTGTGGGAGCGTGCATCAAGCATTGCACGCACCGCGATCAGTTAGCGTCTTAGACTTACTAAGCGCCCAGTTTCACGAGAGGTGCTGATAGCTGAATTGAACATGGGTCTGCAGACATTTTAGAAGTCCGCTACAGATACTTTTGAATCAATCATTAGGCCATATTCACCTGTAGAATTAACATGGTGCAACGAGAGGGCTTCATGGAACGATGTAGCTCCGGACAGAGACGCCTATTACGTGTTCGATGTTTATTCGTCGTCGACGTTAATATCTTGTCGATCTTCATCCTCTTCATCGTTTTCGCTCGCCTCTTCTTCCGTTCGGGATTCTCCCGCCTCATCCGAGTCGCCACTTAGAGAAGAGAACAGTGGGCAGAGGAATGTCTGCTGCAGGCTACCGTAAGGCCCTGTCAACTCTACCGATGGCCACAAACCGGATCGCTCCGCTATTTTGACCCTGGCCGTCATTTGCTTCTTCCATTTTGTCCTGTCGACGTAAACAATATGCCAGTATGATTTAGCCCCTATTTCTTTCCGTATTTCGTTCCTTCCATAATCCTGAACCTGATTGAAACTGAACCGTGATCCGAGAAGTACATGGAACAATGAAAATGGTTTTTTGTGTGACCGCAGGCCCGAACAAAAAAATAACTACAAGCATACATATACCGCGGCTTTAACACGAACAGCAGTGAAGGAGCTTAGTAGGTCGTTAGAAGATACTAGTCGTTTTAAACTTGTGTATAAAGGATAATACCAGATAGCATTCGCCATAATGTAGCTTTAACTGCTAGTGCGTAACATCATCTCGAAAAAATATTCGATGTCAAATGAAGTTTACAGTAAAATGAAAAAACTATACATTGATCTCAATTTTCAGGTTTGTTGGGTCTTACGTTGCCATTAACGTCGAATGCAAGCACCCATACCTTCTGTTCTGGAACCAAGTTTTTATCTGAACTTCGGTGAGATTCAAGGCCGCTGATAACTCCATTCGCTTACTCACGCTGAGGTACTTGTCCACCTAAAAGAACGGTAAAATCCGCAATAGAGTTACTTTTCGAATATGTGATATCACTGTAACAAGGAGCACAACCTCCTCGATTTGGCTATTAATTGTTAGTGCTTCTATAGTCAACTGTTAGTGTTTATTAAGAGCGAATCCGTACTTTAAACTCAGCTTCAAGCCGTTCAAGTTGTTTGGCGGTGTAAGCTTGACGGGGCTTTCGCTCGACGCCAGCACGCCGTGGTCTGCGATTCGCCAAGCCCTTTCCAGTCATAACACAGTCAGCCGTTAGTCCAGGCCCCCCAGTTACGCTGAGGCTACCCCTGCACATTGCTGCAAATCGAAAAGCAGACGCACATGAGAACGCAATGCTCGCATGGACTGCAGTTTCCTTATACGTTTGTTGGTACTGCTAATGCACAGCTTTAGTTATGGTTGTAGAAAGTATCTTGTCGGAAGATTCCGGTGGAACAGTTCAACATTGAGCGGAACGTCGGCCAATATTATTGATGGAGAAGGCACCAGGGAACACTAGTTTAAAGAGTACCTAACACTATTGTCTTACCGATGCGTCCTCTGGAAGAAATGTATTTTCAAAATACAGCACTTAAGGGAGCCAGCTAAATTCGATCAGAGTAAAAGAGCGAAACAATAAGATAACAGAGGTGTCTACCGCTAAGTGCGTAGAATAATGTTGGCGATGGGGCAGTTGTCGGATGCGTTGGCTGTGGATGTTGCGGAAGCGCCGGTGCCAAGGGGCCAGCTCCCGACAAAATTCGCTGTTCGGCATCAGCGGCTAGACAGAACGAGGCATACGGAAACGAAGTTGAACTGTCATGCCCTGCTCCGGACAGCAAGCGTACATTGCAAGCTGCCTATAATCGTCTCAAAGAAAAGGGTCTTTTTTATTTACAAGAATAGTAGCATAAAATTGCCTCAATATGTTATGTCCATTTTTAGAGAGCACCAGTCTTTCAGACTTCCATGTATGGCGCATTGTATGATGTATACTTATACATAGCATTTCTTTCGAAGCATAATTACGAAGGCCCTTTTTTTTTATCAATATCCAATAGAAACAAAATTATTCACTACTCGTTAATGTTTCTATAGGTTTAATTTCTGTAAAAAAAAAAAGAGACAGGAAAGGTCATTGAGTCTTTTCTCAGTATGTAGGCAACTTATGCCTGATGTAGTGTAACCTGCCCTTTAACGTCATATACTAGATTGCTGATTGAATTTAGAAGTGCTGAAACACAAGGAATAGGAGAAATTCTGATTTAGTTTAGTATTTACTTGATTTGTCTAAATGCTTGGGAACGTCCTCTGATCGTGAGAGAGTTGAAACCGAAGTGTATTAATGACTCTCGAAGGAATACCAATGAAAATTCCTCCTATTTTTATCTTATAGTAGTAGTAATGAGCACTTTTTTAGTCAACTATGTAAGTATCTATAGCATCGTACTTATCTTCTGTTTGCGTATCACACTAACCGTATTAGCAGGTGGTCGGCGAAGATCCAGTACTGGTGAGGATGATGCAGATACTTGGGCACCTGTAGATCCTAAAGGGATTAACTGGTTGCTGTCAATGGCCCCCGCCGTAAGTGAAGTTTGTTGTTGCTGCTGATGGTGTCTTCTTTGCCTTCTGGTGGCTAGAATGCTTTCAATCGAAAATGCTGACGGGGCTACCCGAGGCCCTCCGACCCCAACAAATGTCGAAGGCGTCTGCGTGGGCATCGTGCCATTGTTGCCTAGCAAAGAGGCTCCCCACTCTGACATCGTCAGCGGACTCCCAGGAGCAAGAGGACAACGCGATGCCGGAGGCGATGCTATATGTACAACAAATCACCAGTCGTTAGCTACGATTAGTTAAATCGGGTGTGCTGTACACTTCCGAGTGCTTTTTATCATTATACTATCCTGCTTCAGTGACACCTTTTGTTCAATAAATGCTATGTATCCGTAAAACGAAAATATAAACTAAATAACGGGCGACTTACTTAGCGACAATCACATATAAATGATACGTCATCACGTTGACAAGATTCGGTAGATAAAACGGCTGTCTATGTAACACTAGACGCATGCAAACATGTATGAACGTTAGGAGAACTGAGTCTTCGTAACTACACAGTATTCTCTGTAAACTTTCTACATTTTTTTACACTTTTTACAGTACACATAGTACACTTTTTACATAAGCCTAGTAATGAATCATAGATTGCTCATACGTCTATGGTGATGATTAAACGAAGGAAAAATAAGATAGTCAAAATACACTCTGTCACACGACCTGTTGTTGAAGACTAAACGTGCGCATACGGTTTTGTCTTCCTGCAAAATATATTTGGAACTTACTATACAATTTACCGTATCAAACAAAGATCTTGAGAAACGAGAGCGTAGTTGACATTGTTGTTGCAACTATAGACACTAGAAAAGGTCATGGTTTATATTCAGGTGCTTATCTTTCTCTTAACCTTATATAAAGTTACATGACGTGGTTGTACACACATAACTTTACCTAAAGCCCTACGTATATTGGATTGTCTAAAAAGTATTTACCGTTTCTAGGCCAAACTTAAAACAAGCATTTTCTATATTTTAAAATGGTAATGCTAAACTAAATATGTACTGGTCTGTTAATAATACCATAACCCCATCACTGTAGAACTCTAGGTTTCTGGGCGAAAAATTGTGAGAAGTCATTTTTGGATTTCTCCATTGGAATTGAACCAAGACCATTAAGAAAGTTTTACAACAACCGCGGAGATGATAATTCGATGATGCAAAATCCAGGTATGCATGAACGTTTCGTGTCCAAGTTCTCTATATTTTTGCCGGCTAACTAAAAGGTAACTCATTTTTTCACGGTGGAAAGCGATGCCTCTTCTATTCAGTAGTTCTTCAATAGTTTGATTTTTTCCAATGGCTTATGGTACTTTTGACGATAGAGATTCATCTGATCCGTTGTGTTAGGTGAGAGCAACCTGTAACGTACAACTTCTTTTCAAACAGATAGCGTAAGCTTCTCGCTCATAAATTGAACGCTATTTTTTTCTTTGCTCAATGTTGTCATACGTGATCTATCTTTGACAATGGCATAATAATGCTGCGTAAAGTTTCGCAGATGGAAACAGGATTGCGTCGATTTGTGTGACACTTGAATCGAGCTTTTTATTTTCAGCTAGCTTTCTTCAGATCACTTTTTTGTGGTAAATATTTAGTCCTTTAGAGAGATCATCGGACTCGTTCAACTTCCGCGATAATTCCACTAAGTTTTTCTCTAATTGCACTACTACGAACAGTACTTTCCACATCTAGAATAAACACGACCGAATATCGCTTAACTTTCATCCTATAACGCGCCCTAAACATAAACAGGACAGTTTTTTATGGGCCTAGACAAAATGTGTCTCTAGTGGAATCAAATTCTTAAACGAAGCGAATTTTTTTTACCCATTTCTCAATGCGTTCTACCTTAAGTTCGGATAAAGGCATCCCAGTAATTTTAGGACGTCTGTTCACCGATGTCCGAATATCATGACATTAAAGCCATTTAGCTAGAAAGATAATTAACGTTTTTTTCTTCAAAAGCCAATATTTATAAAGATATCTTAGTCAATTACTGCTTGAATCGGTATTACGCATGCGTAAGTAACCAAACAGCCCAATGTATTTTAGCCCAAAATGACGTCCAGATATTGAACAGCTGAAACGGACTGTGGTCGAGTGTTATATCGATCGATTGAAGGAAACATGTGATTTCCCACTGCGAGACAAAAGACACATATAGGTAGTAACCAGCCTGATAAACAGTAACGTTGCCGAATCGGACAGGATGAAACGATGCTTCTTGTAGTTCTGTTTGTATTCTCAGTAAAATTAAAGCATTTGTATTAGAATTGTAAGCTAAAGACGCGCTTGGACGTGAACAGAGATAAATATTCTAGAAGTTAAATTGATTAATTAAAAAAGCCGAATACTTTACTAACATAAACCTTCGTTTTTACCTAGAATCAGGAATCGCATAGTAAATCCAAAGTGATCTCATACCGCCTTCCCATAGAGAGACAGGTTCAAGATTTGTATAGAGCAAGTATTGGCAAATATGTACGCCTAAAAGCGATGGAAAGTCTATTCAGTACTTATCTTATTGTACTGGAGTTATATTGAAGACACTGGATTTATATATGCCAAATTTACTTCGAGCCATCGTTGAAAACGACCCACAGCAGTTTACTAGTTATAGACTTTTGTATCGTGTGGCCAGAATAGGCTTACTTCGATTGACCTATTTTGGAAAAAACGGTGCCTCACAAAGTATATGTGTGGTTATATGGATTTCTGATAATTTTGTGACAAAACGTTAATTAACCATCAAGTCTAAACGGAAAACGCCGTACTTACTAGAAATAAGATTAGATAAGCCAAAACTTTCCGTTCGTTGTTGCTGATTTAGGCAGGTCAAAAATTACTTGTCTACCCTAGGGTTACACAGTGATTTTCGAGTGGCCCGGGTAGTGATACATACATAAGTCGGACTTTGCTCGAGAACAGACGAGACATAATAACAAATGTACACTATTCTCCAAAACTAACTCGATGGGACTGATTCTGGCATAACTAGGTGAATTCCACCACCAGGTGGCGATTATAATGCAACACATATTTTGACAATATTGTTTTTTCTAAACAATGCGCCGTGTCAATTTGTCAAAATTTCTTTCGAAAATAGCCACACGTGAGACACTGTTGACATTAGAACGCGCTTTTACTTTGGCCTATACAACTTTTAGGATGATCATGGAGTATAACTTTTATAAAATGTAACTTGCGTTCAGTTTGTCTTTAAATCATATGTAGCTTTCGGATAGGCAAAACTGCGGTAGAAAAACAGGAAAAGTCAATTAAACAACAAAATTTATATAACGCGAGAAAGAATGCTTCTCTGTCGCATACCGCCCTGCCTTCTAAAGTTTAGCTACCGAAAAAAGGTCTAGTAATTCCAATTGTATCAAAGTTCTACCCGTCCGAAAATGCGAACAGTTTGTTAGCCGTTGCTTGCTAGGAAGAAGCGGAGTGGCCGTCTTGGCCTAAGCAAAATGCATCAGTGCAAAAGGGCCCAATTTTTTGGTCGTCATTTATACGTACATATTATATCTCCGGTGTATGCTCGATGCACTTAACAAGCTGCGCGACGCAGACGTTCTTAAAGTTGGCTAAAATTTGTATTTCCCGCTTAAACATGCTATAGTTCAAGAAGCGGTTTGATGGTCCTCAGTAGAAATTTCACATGAACTTTAACCCCCCTTTGAACTACCACTGAGTCTCGGAGCGTTGTCGTAGCAAATTTCGTCAATTAAAAACGACCAAGAGTTCTAGCACAAGAAAACTGTAATAATATAATAATAATAATAAACTTACTGAGTCGGTTCTTTGAGGTCTAGCTGAAATGCGCTTTCTCTCTATGATCGTGCAATATTTCGAGGCATAACAGCTATCAGTTTAACATTTCAGTAAGCTTCTGAGGTTTTTTTACCGGACGTGTTTTACCACAATTAGATTTGTAATATTTAAACCTTTCGACAAGCTTTTGTGTCCAATAAGGAAGGTGCTCGTGTACGGTTGAACCACCGTTAAGATCTTGGACCATCGTCGCAAGAGCGATCGCTATAATGTACGGGATATGCAACAGCTGTTTTATCTCTTTGGGGTTTCCCTACCTCCTTGGTAGGGCCATTGTCGAGTACGAATGCAATCAAATAGCGATAAATATCAGGGTCGTCCATTTGGGCTGTTAATGGGATAAGATGATCGTTGTATGCACCGTGAAAACATTGCTTGCTTTTGTCCTCACTACGCCAGCTACAATGAGTTCGGATGCAGACTAAATAGAATGGTTGAATTAGCATGGACACTTCTGGTAAGTTTGTAAGTGCAACTGAGTGTGCGAATGGGGCCGATCCTGACGTATCTAACAATCTCAATACAGCATGTTTCGATGTTACGCTAAAATTGTCATAATCGCAACAATCATACGATAGCAATAGGTGAATTTCGATACTTTGAATCTATGGATTTTTACCAAAAATCACAAGTTTACGTTCTTCATAAACAGAGTGAAAAAGGATTTCGTCTTGCGTCAGGCAATACGTAACTGCACTGATGGAACTTGTATAGCTAGCAAAAAAAAATCTGTCTATGCCAATATGAAACAGAAAATAGGATGGCTAGCTCTGGAAGATACATTGAAGTCCAACAAAATTGCATCCGAAAGAATACTATTATTTACGTTTTGTGAAGCTGGAAAGGTTTTAGCTATTAGGAACGTTCGAGAAGAACACGATTGTGTATGACCTATGGATCTGTACACGACCCACGTTTTACGTCGAGTGCTAAGCTATTCAATAGAACGGGCTTAATGGGCAGGCAAAGTCATTTCTGGTCACGACAATTTCAAATCTTTCTCATGGCAAAGGTGTTCAACCTGCTCTGAAAATGTTTAAGTGAGTTTTTTCGCACTCATCGTATTCTATAGGTATCGCGCAAAGGAACTACTACATTGATCACTGCAAATAAAATTGGTAACAGTACGGTTGACAACGAAAAAAATGTTAAAAACTGGCTGTACCAGAAAGGCTCGAAAATTTCTGAAAAGGTAAGGTACAAAACTTAGTCACAAGATGGGAAAGTGACGGGGAATGCACTCGAAGTAAATGTGTTGTTAAAATTCGCGTAAAGTGCTACGCCTTTTGATGCATCAAAAGATTTTTTCGGTTAATTCGAATCTCGATAGCCAAATATACGAATATGCCCAAAGAAATAACTTATGGTCAACAAAACGCGTGCAATTAAGTATTGGCTATGTTTTGAATGAAACGCATACATTCTGATCATTTTTGATAAGTTAGGTACCGGCGAATTGACGTACAAGTCTGAAACATAACAACTTGAAAAAGTGATTTCATCAAATTAGTGAAGAGCTACGCGTTCTAGTATGTTCCTGCGTTCGTGTTGGTGGCCTATTTCAGCCTTAGTCAAAGCGAACTATTGATACAAAATTGTAGTACAGGTTATGGTATCATCCTACCTGAGCTTCTCATCCACACCACTGAAGTTATATATATAATTTAAGTCCTAAATCCGCATCAGTTTTGGCTTACTGATTAGCTAGTATGACACACAATCCGGATCATTTTTGAAGCTTGCAACGGGACCGCGGTATTGCAGGAGGTCTATTTATTTCTTGGAGCGAAAAATAAAAATAGCTTTTTAGAAAAAACCGGTTTACATATTTTTGATACAACACAGCTAAAAGGTTGCCGTCACGACGAAAATGGTGTTCTTGGGATATCAGGCCAAAAAATTATACTCAAGTTGCATATAAATATACTTGAAATAGCCCGTACGAGCAGTCTTTTATTAATGGAGGAATTGACACTGAAAAGATTCGGCCTTGAGTAGAGGCTTTCAGTAATTTGTCTGATTGAAAACGCAGACACGGATCTATTCTCTATTCGGAGTTAGATAAGTTGGATTCATCTGCGGCGTAAGCAAGTCATAATAGTCTGTTCTTCCTGTAGACATCCGCAACCTTTTTTTAGCTTCAAATAAGCTTACGGCAAATAGACCCTATAGTTTAGCTAATTCTCACTTTTCCGGCTCTCTCCGTAGAAGTAACTGTTTTCAAATTAACACCTTGAAACGCTGATATCTTCATGTGGCAACAGTGACAGTGTGTATACTTTACGTAACTTGATAGGTAAGTAAATGAAGTTCAGGCTTCGTAACAAGAAACAAAGGTCTTCAGTTATGGATGCCGGCTCATGCAATGACAGGCCAGTTTCTTGGCGACTCCAAGAAACTGTTAATTTCGGAAAAGATCTGTATTTGGAAACAAAGGATTAGAACGAGGTGTTTTTCACGAAATCTGTCGGTACTTATTCGCAGCTCTAAGGCCAACATTTTGCCTTAAGATGTCCCTGATGAGGCAGCCTCATTATTAGACCCTAAAAAGAGGAAAACATTTTAGTAATTCCCGTCGAATTCATAGTATCAGAAGTGTAGGTACAAGTGATCCTTTCTATGACCTATTTGCAGTTCAATGTATTATTATTGTACAATATATTATATATTTAATACTATAATGATGAGATGATAGGTTCGCATACGCATCAGTTTCCTCATTGATGGGAACCTGTTTTCCTTTGCTTAAGTTATGACTACAGTTAGTAAATTCGGTGCAGTATCTGGGGAAAAACCAGCCTAAAGACAGTTATTATTAGCCCGCAGCTCCAGAGCAAAGAAATCGTCTATAGTAATCCCGAGAGAAATCAGTGGAATTTTCGGGTAATTCGCTACAAGATTAGGAACTAGGTTAGAAAGTTGTACGGATCAGAAGTACAGCCATGTCACGTGCGCAAAACCGCTATTGTCGGCGTAGTTCGCTCACAATGCGTAAAAGGCGCTATTGAAGGCAAGCAAATGGTACTTGTGTTAAATAGGTGGTACACCAGAACAGTAGAGTCTGCCGGACGCCCCAGACGATTCTTACGGCTGTCTTCTGCGATACCTCAACTCATTTTATTAGGCACCGGGGCACAGACCACGCAATTAACTCCATATTCAAGGATCAGCAAGAACTGCCTTTTTATGTTCATAGAGCATCGTATGTGCGTTCATATTGTACATTGAAAATAACTTTTAGATAGGTGGAATGTGGTGAGCGACCGGTCGTAGATCTCGGTAAGTTCAAAAAAACTGATCTTAGTTTTACTTTTTCGTCTGAAAAATGTTGTAAGCTTCGTGTCGCATTTGGTTATGTCTTTGTTTTCCTTTGTTCAAAGGATCGTATCCTTAAATATACTCTTGCAGTATAGCAAAAGAATTGGGGATTAGTTGTAAAAGTTGAGAGCTGCCACAACAGAACATTACATGACAAACCCGCACTCCCTAGGGGGGTTTCTATAAGAGCAGCAAGAGTATATGTAAAATGAAACAGATGTTCTTGATTATTATGAAGAAAGGCATTGGTTATATAGTGAAATACTTTTTGCGTCGTAATCGTCACTCCTAGGTAAATTCCAAATTAGACCGTGTACCTTGCACCTATGTACTTGTACGTATGGCGTATATTTTAAATATCAGATCTATAATAAAAATGAAAAGTCCCAGAAATCTTTCTACTTTTTTGTTGGCCCAAAAGTGAAGCGCAACAGCTTTGATTAACGCTTTAACTAGCGTCGTTAAAAAAAATAATAATCTCGACTAGCAAGCACGATAATTAAGTTCCGAATTGGTTTGCGTTTGAGTCTAGCAGATCCTCTGCGACCATTAACGCTTGATCTTTTATTATCGAGCAGGAGATATTACCTAAACTTATGCAACTCCTCGAGGTGCAAGGACTCGCAGAAACCCTGTTAAGCGAAGACAGGATTAATGGTGTCTATTCTGCGCGTAACTTGTAAGTAGTGCTAAGCAAAAATGCTCAGTATACAACAACAGTAAAACTTTTTGCATTATTTTTTGCGTGAAATTAGCTGCCTTCGTTTATATAAATTGTATCTCGCGGTAATCATCAAGGAGAATTGCTTTTCTTTCGCTTCTTTAGTATTTCTAGTGTTGTTTTCGCGCGCATCACTTGAGTCTCTCTAGGCCCTCTCACTTACCTTCGCAGAGAACTGTATCCGTGTGCAAAAACGACTCTGACTTTGTCTGCTGTTGAGCATCCATGCTCAACTCTGGCTTCCTCCCCTAACAAAGTTCAACAAGCGGGCTTTTTCTTGCCTCACTCCAGTCGTTAGTCAAATGCTCCCACAGTAAAAAAAGAGGTGAGAGAGTATAGTAGGGAATCCAGTTTCACTATTGCGCACTTTTTGGACCAAAACCGTTTTGCAGTTTGTGCAGTGTTACTCTTGGAGTGGCCATTCTTTACAGGGAGGTAACTTTAAGGTCTTTGTACGCACAATGAACACCATGCCGTCTGCTGGTGGGGCTTCCGGGGGGTGTACACTCCTAAAAATGTGACTTCGCCAAACGATAAACCTCACTTGATCCGACGTGATATATTTTGACTGAACACGGGTACCAAGATGAAGAATTCAACTGCGTTCATGCGCCTGGTCTCGGCCGCATAGTACGGAGGCGTGGCTGAAGCAGTCCCCAAAGCACGCGCCGCCTTTCCGTGCTCTCCACGGGGGAGGTGCCCACCTACTCTTCGCTCCCCAAAAGCTCCGCCTCGTCCACTAACTTCATTTCAACCGGACCAAGCGTCCGCCATGCGGAATAGATGTTTTTACAATAGGTACTATCCCACAGCGAAGAGTTGAAGTCATAAGGTACTTAAAACGGAGTGAAAATGAAGACCTAGAGGACGTATTTACAACTGCATAATTTACGGGAAATCATCGCAATTGACACGAAAACTGTGGGATTTAATGGTTCTACTTAATGCGTTACAAGTCCCGTATACCCTCCAGTAAACCTAAATCTAACACACAAGAGGCGAACGCATATCTAGCAACGTCTATACAAGCTGATGGCGCTAAAACGGTATATTGGTGAATATAGAACTGTGAGTTACTACGGCCATTAGGATTAAACCACAAATATTTAATACCTAAAGGTTACATGCACCCGCTAATATGAGCCAAGATTGAAAAAATCCGACGTCTATAAGGAAAACACGTCTGTTAATTTTTGTCTGTAAAATTTTGTAGCCATAACGTAAACATGGTACAACGTATATCATTTTTTCATAACTAAATTTTATTAAAGCGAATATGGTCAAAAACAACTCGAATATTCACATACAAGAGAACAGAATATTTAAATTAAAGATGTAGGACTGGCGGAATGCATTCTTAAATTTCATACTAGATGCCCAAAAGGAATAGTAAAATTCATTTAAAAATTTGAAAAAAATCAACACTGATAAATAAACTGAAAGGTTGTTTACAGATTGTAAAGTTTGATTTGTAAGTAGTTCAAGGATTAATGAGCATGTCTATGTAAAAAAAAGTTCGCTCTGATTAAATGTTATGAACTGAATGAAAAAGGTACGAACATTGGTGAACACACAGACTTTTCAAGAGAGACAATCCTGTTTACCAAAAAAAATGAAAGGACTTCTTCTCATCGAATACGATCTAATTGGGTGGATCTAAGGGAGTATCATTAAAATAAACTTGCCTTTCAAGTAAAATTTTGTTATTCAAATAGCTAAATGCGTTACAACAATTAGTTGTAATCCTCAGATGACACTGCCTCGTCGAATCCTCTGAGGACTGATTGCTGACTATCAGGAACTCCAAATTCAACAGATTTCTTTTGCCCTAAGAGCACACATTTTTCAGACACTTATATTGGTCTTCAGTTTTCAGGACTATATATAAGCAAATGAATCGCAAAAATGATCGGCTTGCGGCTAAACTTCTTCTCTGCAATAAATAAATAGTACTAGCTTTTCAATCTATGTTTAGCCTTATTTACTAATGAGCTTAAAAAGACTGCTATGGAACTGCTGGATTGTAGATATTTATCAAATATTTTTAAGAGCGATACTTCACTTAGTCATTTAACGAAATAGGCTTAGTAATGAACTGTGCCTAAATTTGTGTTATCAAATTTAGACACAATTCAATCAATTATTGAGAAATTAAAGACACTTTGACTTAACAGAAAGTAAGAAAGTTAGATGCGGATATTGGAATACCGCACTTGAGCCCACTGATACATTCATATGTTCTGAAATGTTTGTTCGAATCCAAGCACATAATAAAACTCGAACACTTTTCAAAATACCGTATAAGTTGTCAAAACATGGTCATAGATATTATATAGAATTATAAGGTCTCCAATCGATACATCGAGGTGAAATGTTCAGCCATTTTGGTTATCGCTTACTGAACGTTTCTAAACAAAACTTTATAAGTATTCGCTCGAATAAAAGAATGCGAGAAAAAAAAAAAGAGAGAAATTGTTAGAAGTTGATGACATGAAACGATATTTCCATGTCAGCCATTTGACAAAATTTCACTAGCACGAAGTGGCATTGTGATCTGATAATACTGCTGGACCCTCGTTCTCTCTAAACGAGTCGATTTTAATATAATTTGTGATTTTATCCTTTACCTAAGGACAACGATTTTCTCATTCACGTTGGGTTGAAATATTAGCGACAACGTATGGAGCACGACACTTGCGACACTTGGTATTTAAAAGCGTTGAATAGCCATAAGACTTTGAGACTAATATCTTAAGGACTAATATGGATACAAATTCAAAACATAATATCACCACCATTGAACAAAAAAGCAAGCAAATAACTAAGAAGATCAATAATCGCTGTCCAGACCACGTAGTAGGGCTGAATCCAGTACGTAATAGGGTCTTCCTTTGTCGGTGGGTTCGCGACGAATAGTTTGCTAAATATAACACCATATGATCTTATAAAGCTTGGCTTTCTTGACCGAACTGGTTATTACGTCTGATAGCGCATCTAAGGTCAGGTTAATTTGATATTTCCTGACACACAATATTTGAAGCCTACATTCTACCTGAAAACCATATAACCTAAATTATTAGAAAACGGTCACATACCTCAGAGATCTATTTGGATGCAACCTTTTTGGGCTCTTCCTACACGAACATTTTCCATATATTTACACATACAACTGGGAGATGATATTGAGAAAACGTTTAACTAATACAGAGTGAAGATTAGCCGATTGTACAAGTGGGCTAAAATAGCGCACCAAACGCGAATGTTTGATTTGGAGTTTTTTTTCGTGATCTAAAAATCTGTAATACGAAAAAATACTCAACGACAAACCTAATGCATTCGCTAAAGCTCTACTTAATAGTATCAGGCGTACATTTTTATGTATATATAAAGTTAAAATAGATAAAATGTTTCTGATGCAGGAGCAACAAAAGCAACAATTCATCATAGTTGCCAGCATCTTGTGCACACAGATTTTATTTGCCAGCATGAGACTACTAGAAGAGATACAATCGTAGACTTCCTAAAAAAGAGTCATATAATCGACAATCATAGATTTCAGTTACTCACCTTATCGCTAACTGAGTAAATATTATCCAAAAATGGTGATAACATGTTATCCCGTCAAAATCATCATACCCGGTCTTGTGTCCGCAATGTTTAGGGTCGATACTGCTTCAAATATAATTATCATCGGAGTAAAGATTTGAGAGTCACTTGTTATAGTTGATTTATTGTTTGCACTAAGTTTGCCACAATTCTTGTATACGAAAATATTGCAATAGAAACAACTCTTCCTTTTTGCCTACCTTTTGGGTACTTTGCTTAATACACGTCCGTTTTAGCCAATTAAGAAAACTTTAGGCTGTTACATACGAGTCCAATTGATTAAGGATTAGGTAACTAGTTAATATAACGTAACGAGTTATAATAATTATTTATTAAAATGTGTTTTCTTGTTTTCTTTTTTTTTTTGATTACTTGCCTCAGCGCTATGCACACACCACTTACGATCCTATATATAACTTCTTCATCCATGGTTTTTCGGAATAAATCGATAATGAAATAAGCTTGCTCACCAATTGGCCTTTTTGGGGTATAAATCGCTTCGAAATCATGTGAACTTATATTAGTAGAATAAACGAGTCAAAGCCAACGTTGGACATTTCTTTGCTCAATCCAGCAAGTAATTGAGACATGGTGGTGGGGTCTGGCGCTGTCATCCAGTAGCTAGGCTGCATGCTTTTAATTGCCTTGGCATGATCTAAAAGTCTCTGAAAAAACTTGATATAGCGAGTTACATCTATTGTTTCATTCTCGGCGAGGATCTCATAGTAGCCGAAGCTCCTGATGTCCATCGCAAAAATTGCTTCATCACCTCACGCCCGAACCTACTCGACACTACCGTCGAGCTCAGTTTCTCTCCAGAGTGACGCTACCTTCTCGTCAGGTCTCTCTCCGGCTGACGGTGGAGATTGAACAGGTCTTTAGCGAAAAACCCTTATCTATGGCTATCGTACGCTCCGGGCGGACCTTTTGTTGATTAAAGTTCCGCAAATTGCTCATGGAATACACCAAATACATTTCCAAGTGGTCCGAAGTCAACTTATAGAGGACCCATTTTCTACTTAGTTTCCACATTTTCAGTGCTTGGGTTATAATTGTGTAACACGTTACATGTGAAATATTAGTTTTGGCCAACACAACCGATAGACTTCGAGCTCTATTTTTGTGAAAGCCTCCTCAATTACGGCAATGTGCTCTCGTGCTTGAAGTTCTAACGTCTGGTCACTTCCTTGCCACTCTTTAACGCTCCAGCCTATTCCCTTGAAATTTTTGCACCATTTATTATATCGTGTTATGCTTTCGCCTAAAGCTTCCCTGTCGAGTGTCTTCACCAATATTTGATATGTTCCCCCAATGCTATGGCCTCCAAGAAACAAAAGCTGGATCATCGAGCGTTAATTTTTGAGATTAAAAAATACTTTTTCCTTCCGAATTAGTTCCTCCTAGAATGAACTTCATTTGGCTCCACTTAGCCTTCTAGAAAAGTGGAGTATTTGCTAGGCACATTTCGTCTGCTATTGGCGCGTAGTTCAAAAGTTATTCAGCTTAAAAGTCCGCCAGATTCGTTTGTAACAGTGTAAGAATTACTGATTTCTAACACGAATACACCACTTAATTTTTGTCTTGACAGCATATTTAAGGCTTGGCCAACGTTTAACCCTTACTCCTAACCTTTATAAAAACCGGAGGCTTGTTTGGTATAGCAGAAAAATAACCACCTAATCAAACTTGATTCTGTTCTATAACAGAACTTAAGTTAGTTGTGTGAGGTTGTACTAGGAATGATGTCCGATTGCCTGCGTTTGGTGTTGTCTTTTCTAACAAACGTAACAGATGCTGTTGTCTGGCTAATATATATCGGCAAACGATAAACTGGTATTTTTCTACGAATGAAATGTGTCTGAACAACTAGCACAAGTGAGAGTTGCGCTCTCCTGTTTATCCATGATTCGCTCCTGCTTCATCTGCGCCGATTGGATGTTTCTTTTGGGTACGCTACTTGTTGCGCGCTTGTTTTTTAGACCAAATTAACATATTCATGATTCGTCACCTGTTACGAGACGATCCATTCAAAATTTAGCTAGCATTTTTGTTAGCGAAAATGCTTTCAAGGATATTATTCTGGCACCTTTCTTCAACGAGTACCTTTGCGTTCATCTGATACACTAAGGCCCTGAAAAGGCACGATTCACCTTTGAAAAGTCGTATAAAAGGATCGTAACCGTATTCATGCGATCTTCCATTATGTGCGTCCGGAACCTTACGAAATGTTGAAGGTATCCATTTTGCAAACGAACGTCCCTTTGTCATAAGGACGCCGATTTCATATGAACTCTCTATCTAAAAAAAAAAATTCCCTAAAACTTAAGTCCATTATAGGCGGCGTTTTGGACAGCATTTTAGCTAAGCTGCCTAATAAACACAAAAACAAGAAGAATAAAAAGCACAAGTGTTTTTCCTTAGTTGTTTAATTTTATTCAATCTTAATTGTGTCATGCACTTTATACCTATTATATCTAATCCACCTATGTTTCAGGCTCCCTACTTTTGGCCAATTAAGCGAAGCTTTTCTCATTATAATAAAAGGTTAGAAAATGTATTTTTGTCGCTGCAAGTATTTTGTTATCTGTCGTTGATTGCATTGGCTCCCGTTAGTACCGTTTGCAATTGTTGTGTACCATGGGAGAGTGACAGGAGTTGTCGTGGCTTCATTATATTGTATCATAGATAACTTTCCCTTTTTCTTTTGTTACTATGTACAAATGCATTTACTTTTCTCGGGTACGTTACCCTGCTTGTTGTCGTAAGGTTTCAATAACGATAATTTAAAAGGAATATAGATGTACTCACATAATAGGCTTCATAGGTCTATCAGTACGTTTTCGAACCAGAAGCTATCGTATAGTTGTGGTTATTCGAGCGCCTACCCAAACACTTCGCAAAATTTTCGATCGGCGATCGATTTCCTGAATTCATCTATAATTATAGTTAATATATTTATCATTGCTCTTTTTTTTTTTCGTTTCGACTTGTGATTATGTGTACAGCACTCTTTGTTAACTATATATATATATATATATATATAGTTTTAACTATTATATAGTCTTACCACGGACAACACATGTCAATAGTACTTTTTGCTCCCTCTCACTCCTTTCCCCCTCCCTCTGTCCCTCTCTCTCTCTCTCTCTCTCTCTCACACATACACACACCTAAACACTCTGTTTCTCTCTTTCTATGTTTCTCAATTGTATTGCGTAAGTAAGTCCTCTGGCACAACCGAGTGACGGTTCGTCTCTCTTCAACACTTCGTATTACATTTATGCGCTACAAATTATGTGTAGAAATTGTTCCTGATTGATGAATTGAGATAGCGCCAAGATGACCAAATTCTGCGTTCGCATGGACAATAATGCGATGACATCATTTCCTCATTTTTCAGCTGTGCCCTGCACACCACAGACCACCGTATGGCGCCGATTCTTGTGGCCTAATGGTCTTGAACCGTACTTCCCTACTTGCTGCTGGCTTGAAGCAGAAAACTGTATAGTCGATTTTTTTTTTACCATCATCAACGACCTATTAGAATTATCAGCATCGGATACGTTCTCATTCACGGGAACTACATAGCAACCCGCGTTTTGTGTTTGTACTATATCGTTTGACAATTCAGCTGGCTAAAGGATAATTAATAACATACCTAATTGAACCCGTACCTGTGTAGCACGAGTCGATTTGGTGAGAACACAGCAGTATTTCGATCTGCAGCCAGCAATATGAACTCGTCATAAGCTTTTGTTAATTTTCTGGCATTGTGATCTACAGAACAACAAATTACGAAATTTAACTTCCAGTGGCGCCTTGTTATAACAACGACGAAATAGCTTGTATTACGACCCCAAAAGAGGTCCTTGTCTGTTTATGTTATTTGAGAAAAACATGTAATACAACAAATGCCAGGTAAACAGTAGATTTGATGCCGCATCGAGTTCTAATCCATAGAAAGACAGTGCGATACACAACACTACTATCTGAAAATTAGCGAATTAATGAAATTAATCTGAAAAAAATTTGATAGTAAAAAGAAGCGAAAATTTGTCGAAGCCATAAGATGCATGCTTTGTAATCAAATAGCTTAACCAGGCTCGCTGATATGATTTGCCATATCGGCATCCAGAGTAAACGAATAGATCCAGCGATATTATAGTCTCCATGCCGCCAAAGCGCTGTTGACATCGTGCGGCCTTGCGCCTATCTACATGTACGGCCGACAACATTTTGTTTGGTCATCGTTAGGTGCGACGATGAGATGCGTATCTTGCCATAAGTGACTGGCAGAAACGCTGACCGTCGACTGTTTACGATCGCCTCTATGAGTAGAAGGTCAGTACAGATGTTTGGTTACCTCGAATAAGGAGGAATGGTGGCATATCTCTGGTCAACATATCCAGCCAGGCCATGTATAAGCTCGCAGAACATGTATTCTTGCGTGGCATCGGGAGCGTCCTGCCAAGAAATGGGCATACAAAAAGTCTGGTTAGAAAGCGTCGAGCTATCAATACAAAAGATAGTAGTTATCGCTGAACGCGATCAGACGCTTAGGCGCGATCCAGGCCTACGCATGCAAAATGGAACGATCCTAAAGAAGTTTCCCTAAGCAAGACCGATGTCGAAGTAGAGAGTGTTCTCTTGCCTACAAGCTACCATTATTTTCTAAAACAGTCTTAATAATTTGACTTGAAAATTATTAATTATCTCAATAGATACTTGTATATGCGGAGCAAAACGTGACTTACATCACAACTAAATTCGATTCGCGCGAGTACTGGAGAAGGAACTCTCTGAGGCGAAGGTGACGATTTGTTTTTGCTTTGAGTGCAAGGAGCTCGGAATCAGTGATTGCAAGCTTATTGTCTTCTGACACTTCATCCTGGTCCGTTTTCCAGCGAGCTATTAACTTTTCAAATTCACGTTTGGTCTCATCTGAGGGGGGTTTCTGAATGTCCGGGATTACAATGACATCGGAGTATTCCATTCGGAACTTGCTTAACAGAGCCGCCATGCTGAAATTTCAACCCAAAAAGAATCGAATTATTTTCAAAAACCTAAGACACGCTGAATTCGTTACCCGATTATAGATAGAGGATTGAAAGTTACCTCCCAAACAATTCAGCTATAGTATTTCGATATCATTTAGCTATATGTCAGCTGTTATAACGACATTAGCAGTATAGATAGTCTAACTAGGAGAGAACAAAGAAAAAAAAGCACCTCGGTTTAGCCGATTATTCTTATCAATAAATGACATCCTTCATCGGACGACTGTCGCGGAATGGGATCCGCAAGTGTGCACTTGTAGCCGGCAAGTGCATTAGTACAATATAAAAGTAACGTGCCCTTCTCGAGACTATTTAGGGGTTCCATATTAGGACTGGTTTATATTTTTACTTAACTGACAAACCAAGTTCCCTTTCGCTTCTCTATTGGCATAATTAAACACTTGGATATAACTTTATATGTGAATTTGCTACAGACAGTTGGCACCGTTAACTTCGTTAATAGGCATAATTATTTTTCGGCTTGTAAGTATCTTTTTCATCTCAAGTGGTAACTTACAGAACTCTAGATGGTATGGCAGAGGTAATTTAAGGCGAACTATTTAGCCGGTCACTAACTTTGTATAAGTTTAAACTACGAAGTATTAGAAGACGAGATTTGGCTATTTATATTAAGGGTTTAAGTGTCTGCGCCTATAAACTGATTGGGTGTCAACAGAATTTAGAATCAAAGATATCAGTTAGTGTTGAAAGTCAGCGATGAGCGATTAGATCGCAGTTTGTTAAAGAGATCTGATGTAATCTGTCGGAGATGCAAAAATACTGGACAATACATTTTTAGCGAAACAAAAACTTTTTCCTTGTGCAATAATTTTAACGACGGTAAGTGGGAGACTGAGAATCACGGGCAAAATCTTGAACGAGTTGTTGTGAATACAGATGTTCAATGAAGAATTATTATAGCTCATGGTATAAAAATACTGAATATGAAGAAGAAGCACAAGAGAATTGCTTTTTTCTTTTTCAGGACCGGCGCACAGGGTACGTGAATACACGTTTGCTTCATCCTAGACATGATTTGCGCAAGTAGTATTATCAGGGCTGACGTCAATCTATAGATTATAACGATTCTATAGTAAGGCACCATTTGCCTACCTCACAAGCGTTAAGAAGTGCATTAAGTTTTTAGACTCACTAAATAGCCCTGGACGATTTAATAAGGGATTTGACAATCTTCTTTCACCACAAGACGTGTGCAACTATTGCCATTTTCAATGCGCCCATAATTAAGACTTTTGTAAGCTACCTTGATTTTTTCTGTTGGAGGACATTGTATATTGGAGGACAGCTGGCACAAAAACACATATCTTGTGAACTTGAATATAATTGCATACCAGATGCGCTCTGCTTGTAAGCGCAAACAACTCGAACGTATTCTAACATGAGTTCATGTTCTATGCATCGGCCCTCTCACTCACTTCCTTTGTTCCCGGTCAAGCTCTTCTTTCTTGTTGGCTAGTGAGAAAACACGCAGTTTGCAGGAACTCCAGTTGCTTCGTGTCGACAGAAGATAGGGCACGAGTATCGTCAGACCACCGTCGTCGTAAAGCCACCATACATCGATGGTGCCCTTTCGTTGTTTGCGCAAGAACTGGTTGACGTTTTGCAGTACCTCTTTCGGGCATTCGATAACGTTTGGTGAGCCTACCAGAGCTTCTTCTTCATCTTCCTGACGTTCTTTCGAATCACCTCGCTCCTTATTGCCACCCCGTTCTTTGTCTTTGTCCGCCACACCCGCCACGGACGCTCCGAGTCCCTTGTGTTCGGGCTGAGGCGTCCCCGGGGGTGTGCCTTCGCGGGAACTGCCTCCTGCACAACATTTCATCAGGAACAAATAAATAACACCATCACTACTATCACATGAAATGTCATACACATGTCTAGATGCTTCACATAGTAGAATTAACTACAAGAGCCAACCAGTATCACAGATACGTATACAAATGTATGTAGACAAATATGTAGAATTGTAATATGTATAGCTTCTCTAATATTAAGGGGTCGAAGCTCCAACAACTCAAAGATTGTGCCAAGCTCAATATATGTAACTAGTGCAAGCTCGTCGTACGCATATATCTATATACGGCAGGCATAAATTGTGTAAATAAACGAAAAGTTTTTTTTAACGCCAGCCATTTAGCTCAACTTACCAGTGGACAGTTGGGCGGAGGAGACGTTCCTAGGAAACAGGGCACTCTCGTTTCGTTCGAATCCACCGGCGCCACCGCCAGAAGTCGGCAATTTCAAATGATTACTGCTTTTGCCGTTGGTCGTCGGCGAGGATACGAAAACATCCGTGTTTGCATATTCGGAGTAATCAAGTCCTTCGGGAAGGCGTAGAATTGCAATGGACATATGATGATCGAGAATCTCGTGAATGATGTTGAAGTACTCCTCCAACTCATAGTCATGACACGTTTGCCAGTGGTATTTGTAGCCAAGCATAACAACATTTGGTCGAAGTTTGCCCACTCCGGCACACTGTAGGAGTGAGCGTACACCCTTGGAACGATCAGATTCGACAACAATCGAATAAAACGACTTAATCTTGCGTTTTTGTAACCACTGCTGGGCCCGTACGGTCAGATTGTGGCGAGCCCGGTGGGGTAACGGGGGTCGAGCGACGTGGCCACAGATGAGCAACGAAAGTTTCTTCGTGATCGAATAGGCAAAATCAATGAGAGGCGGGCGATAGTTAGGCTCGCCTGACAATACGAGAATCTGTGGGCGATAATTCTTGACATGATCTTCTACCTGTTGGAGTTTATAGACGGCGTTTAGGGCATCCTTATAGGTCTGCGCCTGCGTTGAGCTGCCCCAGTTGACGTCGGGCTTTCGTTGCCCAATGTACATATGTAATCCCAGGATAACGGCGAACGTGATCAGTGCCGTATATGGCTCCATGACAAACATAACCCCCAAACAAAGAATGGCACCGAGAAGTGACAGCCACATATTGTAGTACTTAAAAGCTGGACGGAAACCGGGTGAACGAGCGAACGAGGCGTGGAAGCAGGCGAAATTGATGAGGCAGTAGGCTGCCATAAAAAAATTGGAAATAAGCGGCGCAATCGAATTCAGCTTGCCGATGGCTACGCAGCCTGCAGGAGATGCAGAGTCAGATTTATACAGTGATATTATATTTTTTATACAGTGATATTTTACATATATATACATATGGAAAACAGGATAATAAACATTTACAGCGTATGCATATGTCATCGCAGCTCACATGTTTTTTTCATAACTCAGGTTTTGTATTTTTTATTCCGTTTGTTTTTATCTAAACTTCTTTATCTTATAGTAAACACAGATACTGCTATTTTCACTCATTACCTATTCCAATGGCCATGGCTAGAAAGTAGCCCCGTTTGGGCTCCCCATTAGGCCCGTAGCCTTTGCCAAAGGCATCGATGTGTGGGAATAGCTTGTCCTTGCAAAGGGCCTGAAACACCTTCGGGGCAGATACCAACGAGGCTAGCGCAGAAGACAAAGTTGCAGCAAACACTCCCGCGTTTATCAAGGGCCCGAAAACAGACACCATCTCCATGACCTATTAACATATCATTATGCAACAACAGATGCAGTACAAACGTTGAAGTCCTTACAGTTTATGAGAAGTCGTAGGAAGACATTTTATTATACAGTAGCAAAGACACATTACGTTAGAGTAAGGTCTAAATTTAATTTGCTCATCTCTTATAGTGAAGGACATGTTTTATCATGTTGAAATCATTCACACTAACGGTGCTCAGAAATTTGCCAGTAAATTTCAAACCGTCTTTTAATTCTCACCGTAGTACGAATACGACAATGATTATAAAAATCGTTAAGAGAACCAAAAAGTAACTACTAACATTAGCATCATTGAAAAGTCCATACGGACAGTCCTTGGGATTACAAGGTCCTGCGTGTCCGATAGAATCCCTAAGGTCCGCGAACGACAGCGTATTTGCGTTAGCTGGTGCTAAACCAGTGGCATAACGGAGCGTTGTAGCGCCTGCCAGAATCGCAAACAGCACATAGGAAAGTGAGGTGATAATGATACCTAAGAAGGTACCTTTAGGAATCGCCGTGGATGGATTCTGAAAAGCATAACACGATAAAGAAAAAACAATTCATACGCCACATAGCCTCGTGTATAATAAAGGATAATGGAGACCAATGCAGAGCACTTCACGCTTAATGGGAAGTGCACATTTTACAAGATTTCCTTATATATATATATATATATATATATATATATAATAGTTATAAACGAATTTGTGGTACGTGAGATTGTCCATATCAGCGTACTACAATCACAGGAAGTAGATAACTAGAAATTAGCACACATAATAAAAGTAGTTTATAGTAATTATAGTTGGACATCGAACCATGAATTGATAGATAATTTAGCCAAATCTTATAAAACAGCAAAAAAAAAGATTAGTATGTTATCGAATATAGCATGTATTATTGGATAGGAGTAAGTCTTGTTGCTTCTAGCTAGGTTTATCAAACATACACAGAATGGCTGTAAAAATAGAAGAAATACAAAAAAAGGCCTTACAGCAAGGTCACCGGATATATTCGCTCCGGCAAGAATTCCTGTGGCGGCGGGGAAAAACACAGCAAACACCTCAAAGAAGCCATAATCTTTGCCGCCCTCTGGGGAAAACTGTGGACCGAAATTCTCCGCTAACATTGTTGCTGTAATTAAAGCAATGAAAAAATCTTTATTTTTACTGATTTGTAAAATCAAATTAGCCGCACGCAACACAGATAGGATATAATTCTGATTTACTAAAAGACAGTCCCTTCAGGGTAAGGACAAAGTGTTTCATTGCCAAGCTCATGTGGCCTAAGGAATAAACCTGACCGACTTTATAGTGTTTAGTGGAGACACTCTGAGGCACTGTGTATTATATAGCGGTCTAAAAGATCTAATGAGAAGCTGACGGAAGAACTCGGAAGAATAAATTATATCAGTGATCTACTCTTAAAAACTTAACTTGAAAAAAATCACTTACTTGAAAAACCGAGAAAGCCCTTGCCAAGTTTAGCTTCCGGCACGGGCAGAAAGGCTCCAAGAATGAAGTTAAACATTGCTCCGAGAAGGATGAAAAGCAGAACCACTTGCGCCTAATATATGGCCGAAAAGCAGATTAAGTTTAACACAACCAAGCGAAATTGACAATGAAAACAGTACCTTCTAAATCAAGCAACACAAATATTTAATTCTAGATCTAATAATAATTATAATTATATATATATATAGTGTGTAATAATATATACATATATAGTGCGTGGCGTGTAAATTACCATTTACTTTTACTATACCTAAAGAAAAAGAGTCATATAAGCGGAACTATTTAGACGTACGCGAAATGTCATTGCTAACGGTAACGTTCATCCGATATGGCCAATATAGTCATTATAATATATTCCTCCTTTAATCCGTAAAGAAATTCTTAATAGTATCTGCGTGTTGAGCTACATTAGTAAGCATAAATCTGTAGCATGTTGTAGATATCAAAAATTATAACGGAGTTTAATTTTTACAAGCGAAAAAGTTAGGAAAAATGCAGATATTCTCAAAAATGCAGAGGCTTAAAGCGGTTAAAAAGTCCAAAAGGTGAAAAAAGTTTCAAAGAAACTAACCGTTCGAACTTATTTGGATTACCTACTTGGCAAATTATGTTTTTCTTTTAAAAATTGCCGTTAATAGTTCTATAGTAAAAATCCGGGTGTATAAGTTTGAGCTATTTTGTCTTATTTTCGATTTTTTTAAATCTAACATCTACTGAAGAGTTTCCGGTTTGCCTTATGAAAATTTCCTCGGATTTCTCAGAGGTCGGCCGAAAACTTGCACTAACGTAAACCGTCGATTTCGGGCAGAAACAGGCTTTTGATTTTTATAGGGTTTTTCCACTGTGAAGAAATCGGACAATAGCTCATCTTCGGTTATATAGCAAAAATGCATTGTCTTCCAACATTGCGAGCTTATTGCTCTATTCTAGGAAGAATAGACCCAGATTTCTTCTAATTTCAAGAATGGCAAATGAATGCATGCCCGTTACAAAAGTCAATCTTAACTTAGGTGCCATATTCCTCAATTGTTTAACAGAATATCTTTAACATATACATTATCAAATTGACCTTCGATTCCCATTCGGTTCCGATGAGAGCGATGCAGAGAATGCCGATACAAGTTATACCACCAATTATCCGTACAAGATTTATCGAGTCGTCAGCGGCCAGGACCTGTTTTCAACGAAGACAAGTAATGAAATAATTAGACGATCATACTCGGTATTGCTGCCGATGTGTTGACGACGTTATGGAAATACCGTTTTGCACTGAAGTAACTGAGTGTTCTTTTCTTATGAATGAGGTAACTGACTTGCATCATTATCTACAATATTATAGTTAGGTACATACCTCAGCAATTTCGACCCCGTTAGCATATAGGACGTCCCGAACTGCCTCGGCGAATCCTACTACATACATGGCTATAGCAACCGCATTGGCTAACGAGAAAATGATACCGATGGAACCACCGAACTCCGGTCCGAGTGAACGCGAAATCATGTAATAGGTGCCACCTAACAGACAAAAAAACAGATGAAATCAAGGAGCAACAGAATATGTTTAACAACACTATGTAGAATTAAATGTTCATCTACAAAACGCAAATGGGATATATTGAAATAGGGTAAATATCGAATACACTTCCTCTAATCACTGTCGTTTTCATACGATGAACATCTGAACAGATATAATTGTATTAAGTTACTGTATGGTAAAAATAATAATGAACTGCAGTTGATTAATCCATCCGTGGGTCCATCTAAAGACCCCTCGAAAAAATAGGCAAATTTAGTTACAAGAATTTGATGGGTTCAATGAGTTGGACGTTCATACAAAAGATGGTATTTGTAGGAGAAACAAACTACTCAATTTCATCATACATGTATTTTCGTAATTAGTAGAAATATTTTAAGGGTTGACACTCGTTCGTTTTAGGTATGTACTCCTTCGAAGCCATTTGCTCGCCTGCCCGAAAAACATGGACGACGTTCTTTCCCAGCAATGTCAAATATCCCTTTAGCTAATAAGTTGAAACTAAGATGAATAAACCAAATGACAACTAACCTCCTTTTACTTCACCGTTGGTACAGATAGCCGACATAGACAGGGTTGTCAACATGGTCACAATCGATGCCAACACGATAATGATCACGGATAGCCCGATGCCTGCCTGTCCAACAACCCACGACAGACGTAAAAACAAAATCACACCCCAGATATTCAACAGTACACGAACTAGGACGCCTTGAATCCATCCGAGTTTAACTGCGGCACTTGAATCCAATGCGGTGGGAGATTTGCCGCTTGATTGCTGAAAACGCCATAGGAATCAATAGTAGGTTAAGACTTATGTACGTTAAGTAGTACTATAGATGATAAAAATCATATATTTCGCAACGTCATATTTCTCTGATTCTGCTACGATTTAGAAATGTGATGGCAACTTGTAAACAGTCAGGTGGTAGTTCCTCGGATCATTCGTTCGAGTGAGAGAATTGCCCTCTGGAGCTATTACCGTCGACAATGTATACATAACTAAAGTGGATGAGTGTGTTAACTTCGAATTTTCTCTGGAATAAAGTGCCTTGTTGGAACGGTCGCGCCCGATATCGTGCAAACGAATAATATCGTCTGGTCAGGTAACCCAATAAAATGCGGAATATTTCAAATTCGAGGCACTATCAAGTGAGAAAGTAGATCAAAGCTACAGAATGATGTGAGTCGCAAAGTTTGTCTCAGTAAATGTCCAATTGATGAAAAAACCTTCTATCACGACAGTTACGGTCGAAAAATTTTTTGATCTTCATTCTGGCCTCAGTACCATATTACACTTATCGTGGTTATTTTTCTCATAACCGCTTCCTCATAATTCACTTTGATAAGGTCTATGCTGATTTTAGAGGTCAAGTGAATATGATAAACATATCAAAAAAGTAGTGTTCGTGTTTATTCCTGCCATTCCTTTCATTTACGGAAGAGGCAAGTGACCTACAGGTTTAGAGACGCTGGAGCTGGAATCGTGTTTCCGCCGTTGTTTACAATTGGCAATAATAGGAAACGTCCAGGACTGGCATAGTTTTAAAGCACCATAATAACAGTTCTGCTAAAACAGGTATCTAAATCGTTAACGCGTGTCACGCAGAACCATCGTCAACTCATCGTGAAAACAAATACCTACGTTAAAGAAACAACACTGATGAATTGAGTTCTCCGAAAATTAACCTAGAACAGGAACGCATGATCGCTTGCAATTACACCTACCAACATGTATGTATATATATATATATATATATATATATATATATATATATATATATATGGGGTTTTCTCGCTTGCTCATCATAGGGAGAGAAACACCACCGTACTGACCAAAGTTATTGACCATACGAAACGGTACTATAATGGACGAATAGTTATAGGCGCTGTGTCGGCAGAATGACATAACAGCTTCATCCCTCACAGAAATGATGAAATTTCGTTGATACGATGAAGAAACATGGTGCTTAGTAAAAGAAACCTGTAATCTCCTAATCCCGACGAAACCAGGAGGTGGACAATGTATCAAGGTCAGCTAATAACCCATATCAGTGTTCAGAAAAAATTGAATAACGTTAGTTACAGGTAAGCCATGTGTACAGACCCTGAGCTTGGCCGTAAAGGTAGCACAGATTCGAGTAACCTTTCCTAATGATAACTATATTGTGAGCGTCTTAAAATAGGAATATACATTCGCTTTTAAATCTTTGCATTATAGACATGCATCTAGGTGATGAAAGAATCAGGATGAGGCAGTCAAAAAACAACTCTGAGATCTAATTCTTGCATTGTTCAGCGAAAATGGCCTCCTCGCGGTGGTCAAACATTGGCTCACAGTACTATTATTAAAATTAATCCACAAATCTTTGTACGTTAACGCTTTGAGTTGAACGATGTATGTACACTGACTATGGCCTTGTAATCACGCTATGGAAGCGATAGGATATTTCTCAAGGACGCACGTGCGTCGCACGAATCTGATTGAAGTTACTCTATATTGATGAGGTGTTTGATCTCGCCCTTAAGAGGTCGCTTGCTGTAAAGCACGTCTTTCGTTATTGCAGATCTTACGCAGATTCAATGGCTTAAACAACCTATCATGCCATGAACTCAATGTTCGATGATAAAAAGACGAAAATCGCGTATAGGCGTATATATATAAACGTATGGTATAATTATACTGCTACTGACTTCATGAATTTATATGTGTAACGTTGTTTACTTTTTGTGAAAAAAACAACTTGTTTTTATTCTCTTTTTATTGTGTGAGATGTATTTCATTTGCGTTTTTTGTATGCCTGTGTGAACCATATTAGATTAACCCTATTATAGCTTTAGATTGCCACATGATAAGATATGATAAAGCCTGAGTATTTTATATTTTTCGCCTGTAGTCAGCGCTACGCAGTTTATCAGTTTAAAAAAGAACATGTAAAATCATTAAGATATAATCTAGGACTGTAGCGTCCTTATGACCACGCGACAGTCATGACCTCTCTGGAAACATCCGGTTCGCAAAGGCGCAGGACGTTTGCCTACTCCTAAAGCCGGTCTGTATTTTAGTCGTACTGTTGCATAATATTATGAATTCCTAACATCATCTAATGGAAACACAAAACATTTCCGCAAACAGAAAGCATACCAGCAGCCAGTTGCTACTAAGGCCGTAACGTTTGTTAGTTATATATATACATATAGAAAAATTATTACATGCAAATTACTGCTACCATACCCGCCCGTAAACGCACCCCATCCAATACATAGTACAATAAAAAGTATGTATTTTTCCCAAATCAATGGAGAGGTGTGCGTAAAACGCTGTACGTCTTTCTTCTGCCTGTTTTCCTATTAATGAAATTTTCGTAGTTCAAAAAAGACACGTTTAAAAAAGCACCGATGGTGGAATCATCATTGTTAATCGCCCGATTTGTCTTCACTTTTGCACTATTACCATTCCAAAGTGGGCACCGATAAGCTCCCACTTCGATTTTTCCCATCTTGCCCTGTTTCTCTCCCTTACAGTTTTCCAATGATACTGTTGCCTAACCGTCAACAACAAGTGCAACAAGTATGGAATAAGGAAAAATGCGTCTATTTGATAGAAAGTAGTCTGTTAAAACGTACCTGATCTTCGTGAATTGCAAAAGGTTTGTTGTTTGTTTTTGCTGATTCGATCCACCTTCTATGATGACCCTGTGTCGTTCATAGTGACCTGTACGATTGTGAGCATTATTGATTCGGTCAAGCACTCCATTCAAACAACGATAACAGATAAATGTGGCATTAACATAATAGCAGCAGAAAGGACCGAAAGGGGGGGACGACTTTTTTTTTGACGATTATACTAGTATACGATTTCACAAACTACTACAATGGACCAGAATCTGCAGAACCTTCATATACCTATCTCGGTTTGATAAACTCCCTATCACTGCATCAGCACGCTACAGCCTGGAGATTGTCATGGTCATGAATGTGAAAATGGCCAAGCTGATAAGTAAGGAAGATAGTCGATGCCTTTGTAGCTGAGTCTACAGTAGCATCAGCACTGCACTGATGGTAAACCATACCGTTATGTAATAAATACATGATCGCGTTGCGCATCGTTAGTCATGGGAAATACGTAGCTTATCGATATTTATCTCTACTAGGTTGTTGTGATATTGTTCTGTAGTTGAAAATCCCGCTGAGTTCGGCGTTGTTATCAACTTAGCTAAGTTGCTGACATATTGAGATTGTGTTTGCACAAGTTAAATGTCATTAAATGAAGTTACATATGAAAATCATTACACAGTTTGATCTTGATCTATTTAAAACAAGTCAATGTTATTGATGACGAGTTATGCAGCTACACTACCAGAACGGTGCAGTACAGTTCATATTCACAAGCATTACCTAAAAATAATAGCCTTTTAAGGTAAACAGAGCTTGCACAACCTAGGACACCTATGACTAATAGACACTTAGTCTTTTGTCCTGAACGTATCTCGATTTCTCAGGTTGTGCTTTGGGCATTAAGATAAAAGTCCCTCGCAATATTCACCAGTTATTAATAAGGAGATCGGGCATATTAAAGTCTTATTATGCATTCGTTATAAATTGCACGACTTCATGTGTCCTTTTCCCACAAATCTGATCTTTATTGCCTGCGCATGCAGAAGTACGCATTTTCGGACGCTTTGCGGCCTTTGATTTTATACCATTGCATGCACAACCTGATAAAAACTGCACATGCAAGTTACATAAAGTTTTGAGCGATTAATAATTAAACATAATGAAAAAGCAATCTTAAATTTCCCATATATATGTTTTGCTGTTCATGTGACCCGTTTTATAGCACAACTGTAAATATCAGCGTTAAATTTTTTGCTCCATGTTTCATTTTATATGCCTAAAATTAGAATAGAAAATAGAAAAATTTTGGTTAGCCCAGGCTTCCGTTTTCTGAGTTATAGATATCGCTGAATGCTGTATTGACAATCGAAAACCGAGATCATACAAGCCAGTTTATGGTTGAAGGGTGTGAGTGAAGGTAGTTTCACCGTGCGTACTGAACCGAACCCAGAGAACCTACCACCCCAGAACCAGCATTTTCAGTTGTTATTGTGTTGTTGTTACTGTTGTATCTGAGGCTACAGAAGTTGTAGGTAGCAACAAGAGTTATATCGCGCCGCCAATAGATCTTTCTACACGCAGATGGCGACGGGCCTCCTCTCGGACTCTACAACGCCTTCTCGTTCGGACGCTTGTGCTAGGTTGCTTATTGGGGCTAAGAGCTCTGAGAGCATCAAAGTGCACGGGTAACTTTTGCCTGCCGCAAGCACGGTATTTAGTGCTTTCGTCACCCCTGTTGCCTAGATAGATTTGGCTACGTCCGTCCAGAATGAGATTGCTATTAGTAGTGAGATCATTACCAGGACGACTGCTCCCCTCCTATTCGGTGCCTGTTTCAGGTTAGCTAGCTCAAGCGGCACGCAACAAACGCGGTTCAAAAAGGAATGTGCAATGTGGCTAAGCTTTTTTGATGATGCCTGGTTTTTTGTTTACTTGGATTGGCGTCTCGGGCCGACTAAAGCTCTCTAGGTAGCTAGCCATGCGACCATACCTAGTGGAGGCTAACCACTACTTTCGCGAAAAAGAGAACTAAGGAATAAATAGGCTGGCGTCGATATGAAAGAGAACTATTGCTCATTACAGTCACCTGACGAAAAAGGAGCACGGACTTGGGGTATCCACTGGATCTATGAGCTGCTTGTCGTTATTTGATAGTGACAC